CCTAATTACTTGCTGTCATCACTCTTCAAAAAAAATTGTCTTGTTGATTTTGTATCGTGAGAGAAGGTGACAAAATTGCAGCACTGATATTGATACACAGTAGTTTTCAGCCTAATAGAAACTTAAGCATTTCTTAACTTTCAGTGGTGTGTTGACATTTATGTTGGTGTCAAATCACCTCTGAAAATTAATAAATGCTGAAATAGTTTGCATTAAGTTTCCCCTGATTCCCTATGCTAACAACATCAATGGCACATACCATAGTTCCTCAGATAAGTTCCCAGGCACTGATTTAAAATTCTGGTGGAAAGGAAAGGCAGTTATTGGAAGGAGGGTACTTATTCCATTTAAGTTAGCACAATAATAGGGAAAAAATATGGATGAGACTGTTCATGATAATGTTCAAGAAAATCTTGTTTTTTTCCCTTTAGTTTATGATACAAGCAGCAGAGAGATGTTTGAGAAATTGGAAGAATGGCTCAATGAAATAGAAATGTATTCAACAAAAAAAGACATCATAAAAATGCTTGTTGGCAACAAAATAGACAAGGTACAGTGAAAACTTTTTGTTTTTATATTAGACCAGATTATTATTACCCAATTTTTATTATTAAAAACTGGAGTCTTCTCCCTCAATTTGAACCTAGAGATAAAATGAATATCTTTCTAACCTTGGTGGTCTATACTGTAAGTTATGGAACCTTTTTTTTTTTTTTTTTTTCAATCACACTTAGATTTAGCATCATTTCTTAGGCTGTTGTGTTTGATTAATACTCCTATCTTCCAATATTCCTAAACTTTAAAAATCTCGTGTGGGTACATGTATTTGCTTGGTACAGGATTAACTGTAATTGCATACAGTAAGGTTTTGTGCATGCTTGATGTACTAGAAATTCAGATTTTCATACTGTGCTTTTTAGGAGGGTTGTGAAGTTGATAGAAAACAGGGATTACAATTTCAAGAAGACATTCCATGTTATTTATTGAAGCAAGGTTAGTGTCAGCTTGAGTTAGAAATATTTATTCCCCTGGAATCAAGGATCAAATGTTTTTTTTTTTTTAACAGCCACCTATGTAATGGCACAAGATGGTTTGGTGAAACAACTATGAAAACAATTGTTCAGGGACTTGAAGAATGACAAAAAAAAATTTTAAAAAGTTGTTATTTTATGTTCAAATGTTTATTCTTTTTATGAAAAAAAGCCACAATTTTAATTAGAGTATGTTATTAAAATTGTACAGAAAGGTAGTAAAGAGATTCTTTTAACCCTATAACTTCCAAGATCTAATTGTTAATTCTCCCCTCTGGCTGTTACACATTTCCTTGTAAATTAGTTGGGAGAATTTGGTGTCATACCATAATTATAACTTCTACCTGATAAGTTTGAGTATTCTCATTACCTGTTTGCTGGATAATGTATGGAGATTATAGGGAGAAGTTAAATGTTAATCATTTCTGGGAATTAAAGGGTTAATGAGTTTCTAGCCGGTGATTAAAATGGTATCCTGTCTTTCAACAAAATAATTGTACATTGTGTCATCTAAGTTTTATTTTTTATGAACAAATCTTGCTTCTTTTTTTTTTGTAGTGCAAGAACAAGAGAGGGGGTTCAACTTGCTTTTGAGGAACTAGTAGAGAAGGTATTTAAACAACCAGGCAATTAAAATGTTTTACATTGTTATATTATGGAAGACGTAGAGGCTGTAACCTTTTAACTCCCATTGGCTTCCAGCTATCATGGGTTATGAGCTATTACATCATGCTCTACAAATATGGTAAGGGTGATCATAAAAAAGTCAAGTTTACAAAATAAAGTTGGGAAGATTATTTTTGGGGTGTTTTTAGATCTTATCTTAACAGCGGTCTAGTGTAGCATGCAAGGGGTGGGTCCAAGGTGGTCTTTTTACTATGATTGATAATTTGCATATTCCCAGGGCATTTTATTAATATATGCAAATGGATTGCACAATCCTCTGAAGTGAGCCTAAATTTATTTCTGTTAATTGTTTGTCTGCGGTCACCAAATGAGTCAAGAGATTTAACCAAGAGGTATGTTTCAATACAGAAACGTCTCTAAATTATTGAATTGTTTAAGTGTAGTTTTTTAAGAGGAAAACCATGAACTGCAAATGCACACCTTGTTCACCTCGCAGAAATCTGCCATGACTTAAAATTGGAAGTCACTGCCACCTTTACATACAGGTTATCATCCAAAATGTGTGGTCTATGCTAGTTTGTAGTGAAAAAATTTTAAAAATATTGATAAACATCGAACAAATAGAGCGTCATCGATTGCAGCCATCGTAACAAGAATATTAATGCTACAGAAGCTTTATCATGCAAAAAAAATTAACAACTACTTCTGGCTCGAGAATGATTGTAGCACTTTAATTTTGAGTCATGCCCCATTTTATAAGATCCTAAATTGTATTTTTTTCCTTCAACTTTAACTTTGACTTAAAGGTTTTGAATGCACAAGTGGAAGTTGGGGAAAATATAATTATTAACAGATTTTAAATAATGCTTAACATGGTATAGTTGCATTTTTAGACTTACACTGGTGGTCCTCTTAGCATTAACATGACAAGGGTCTCTAAAAATTGAGTTGAACAAGTTAAGGTTTGTGGATTGGTTCCACAGAGATGTTTCTGATAATTTTCTTTCATTTTGCAGCAAATTTGACGACCTTTGTGAGGAAACTGCAGTGGAAAGCAATGAATTGGTAAGTTTATTTGGACCAAAATGTGAATTCTCCAGAGAGAGAGAGAGGGAGAGTTTTAGTTTCCTTCATTCATGACAGACACAGAATTTTCTTTCAATTATTTTACAGCGTGACCTTTAAGTTGGTGTTTCAAAATTCATTTTATAATCTTATAGACTGTAGAGTAGTAATGCATTCATACTACTTCTGTCTCAACTTCCCCGTGGATGCATTTACATTTAAGTTTACATCACTTTCCTTGCAATATCTACAACAAACATAATTGTAAGCGATGAATTTCAGCTTGAGATCTTTGCAGAATGCAAGCTTGTGACCAGGAGATGTGTTTTGCAATGCTGGATCAAGAGTGATAAATTTATTATGTGAGCTTTGCCTTCGAGAAAGAGAAACTATGATTATATTAATTATGTACATAAGCTCAATATATGCAACATATGATAAGTTGGAATACAATAATTTTTTTTTTCATGTAGATTTTAGGTCAATTTGCTTAATATATTTTAAGACCGAAGTTGCGCGGTGAAAACTTAATATATTTATTAATTTTTCTTTTCAATTAATTCTTAAAATTGGATTAGATTTTGGCTGTGTGGAGATTTAGGACAGAAGTTAACCCCTTGCACTTTAACATCAGTATGCATATTCTCCATATTGTTCCTTATACAATTTATAGGGTGCTGATAAGGAGAATTTGTTTAACAATCAAGAGCTTCTTCAGCAAGTAATCATTTTTATTGCTATGGAAGCAAAGCCATTATGTTGTCCTGTTGAGCTGAGTGAGGGTAACAATAGAATACGAATGACCTCTTCATCCACAACAGAGTCTGCC